TATTTTGATATCTATGAGGAATTTCGACTAAATGAACAAGGTAGATGATCACGTCTGCCTTTTTCTGCCTATCAAAATAATATGTTGTCATGTAACAAATTATATTGTTTTCTAACTTATTTCCAGTTCGGCAATGTATATCTTTAGACCAAGGTCAGAGTAAAATACTCTGTAGACCCCCTGGTGAGACTTTGGGAGGGGATCAATATTCGGTTCCAGGTACTAACGCATGCCGAACTTAGAACCCTGATGTTCATCGTTCAGTAGCTGTCTGTATCATGTGCCGAACTTAAAACATTAATTTGGTTTTATTCCTGACATTGGCATACTGCAATAATTCCACTCTTATTTTTTTTATTCTTTTTTTTTTATTTATATATTTATTTATTTATTTTTTTTTTCGGAAATCATTTTCAAACTATTAGTATTATTTTTTTGTAAATTTATGAATGATCAATACGTTCTGAAATTATCAATGAAGCCAAATTAATGTTACACTGGTAATATTTGTATTATATATCTGAATATTGTGGTATTTGTTGTATTGAAGTAGAGGCTTATTAAACAGTGTCAAGCCATTACGAAAGTACACATTTCGTAATGGCTTGACTTTATGAAGATAATTAAACAAGAAGCTTGGAGTTTTTAGTAGAATTACATCTATAAATGCAAGAAATCGAGACAAAGGTTACTGCGATTGGTCAATGTATTGCTATAAACTACTTGTGCTTGCATTGTTAAAAGCTTTTTTTGTTCGTGAAAAAGTTACTATGGTATATGAAACCTTAATTCCATAATATAATGCATGCTATTAGGGAAACAGTCTGCATTTTGAAAGATAAAACATAGATTATATATGTTTTACTAACAATATATTACTAATATCAATTATATGTTTATTAAAGAAAGGATATGTTCTGATTCGAAAATGTACTACACAGTGTACTTGTATCTAAAAATTACATATCTTCAAATGACATCTGCCTATGTTTGCCTTGTTTGCAACTGAAGCTCTATGTCACCCTTTGCTTCATTCACACAGCTATCGTGTACACTTGTACTTAACACAACATCTTCTTACAAAGATAACAAAAATCATAGCAATATTTCATTATTAAACTTATTTTAAGCAACATTAAACATCAGTTTTTTCGTACTATATAATATGAATTTCTATCTATATGTGTATATAATTTCTAGACAAATTTATTATGACTTTGTTTGATTTCAGTGTATACAACCAGTACACAACAGCAGGATGCTAGTAGTACAGCTATAGTTGAAGGTGTTGGTGTATCATTATTTGGTCTCTATCATGTTGTAATCATTATTGTGTTAATTAACATGTTAATTGCTATGATGAGTCATTCGTTTGAGGATATTCAGGTTAATTTTCACTTTAATTGTATTAATAACAAGCATCTTCAGCAACAAGCATCGTCCATCTTGTGCAGGCGTGATTTTCGGACTTGAGTGTCAGTTATCCTATAA